TACCATCATGTAACAATACTGATCAGCTAATTGATTTTCTAAATTTGACTAGGGACTGTTGCTCTAATGGAGGTGTTTACTGCCTGTGACAGGTAATTTTTCAGTGATTAAATACACAACTTTTAATGATTCATAACATCTGTTTTATGTTTTAAGCACAAAATAATTGCTAGTTTAGCTTAAGATTACATGATCAGTTATTGACTTGTGATTGACGAAGTTTACCAAGTGCTTGATTACACTTTTTGTGTACATACAGTTACTGTGTTTGCAATAATTGTACAGCTTCTCATACTATAACGATTAAATTTAATTTTACTACAGATACTTCCTCAGTTATCCTGTCAGCATCAACTGTCATTCCTACTGTGATTCCTACTGCTTCTTCATTCATGTTAACATCAGTATTAATCCCATTAGCAGTCACTATTCCACTAGTTCTACTGGTAGTATTTATAGCAGTGTTATTCATTTTCTGTTTGATTAAGAGGAGAGCAAATATGAAGGAAAATAAGACAGATCTAGTGCTGCATGCAATTCCCTCCAAGCCTTTGTTACGTAAGTAAAACTATCTATATTAAAATTGCTGTAGCATTTTATAGACTTCATTATTGGCATGTACAAGCATGTGCTAAAATTACTAATGTAGTCAATACACATCGTACTCTCTCATATTACTTGTATGTTTGTAGTTTCAGAGAGCAGTAGAGAAAACGTTTGTAATTCTAGCAAACCAATTGACATCTCATCAAAGTACATAGATCAGTTATCAGATTATATAATATCAGGATCAATCATTGAAATACAAGAAACTGTTGGACAAGGTTTGAGCAACATTAAATTAATTAGTTTTAGCTTTTTGTTTAGGTGAATTTGGTATAGTGTATCGTGGTGTAATGACAAGTAACACTCAATTGCCAAAAGCAGTAGCTGTGAAAACATTAAAAGGTTGGGTAATGAATAATAATACTTATCGTACAGTCTTGCATTATGATATATATTTAAATTGTAAAAGGAATAAAATGATTGGGCAGTCTGTTATTGTAACATTATGGGTGTATGCATTTTCTAGGCTATCATATTGTTACCCACATCCTATGCATACAAAGTATAATTTATGAAATGCACACTTCTTTTCTTTTTTATTCTTATTAATAATTGCTTGCATCTCTCCGGTGTTTGTTCTTTGAGCTCTCTATCTCTCTTTCTACTCAGCTTTAACTGATAAAACATCAAGTTCTCACTTATCGCTGTGTACTAATTAGATTTAATCAATAGTGTTTAGCAATCACTCAACAGCTCTTACATTTGAATAGCTTTACATTAACAGTCCACTTGTTAGGTGTTAATTACTGAGTACAATAAACGTAGGGTAATTATTATTATTAAATGCAAATGATTGCGTTTATACATTGTAAATATTATTGAAACATGTACCTAACTGTGTATTTGCATTCATACTTTATACTTTCACAATTTTAATAGGTTTTTATAAAGAGAGTGACATTGATTCCTTATTGGATGAGTGCATTATAATGATGTCATTTGATAATTTAAATGTATTACCACTGATTGGTGTGTGTCTTGATCTTGGACCAGCTCCATACATTATTATGCCTTTCATGTCAAGAGGAAGTTTATTGTCTTACCTCAAGAAAGAGAGGCCTAATTTTACAGTAGCTGATACCAGTGAAGAGGATATTATACTGAATGTCAGGAAACAGTTACTCTCCATTTGTTTACAAGTTGCTAATGGAATGTCTTACTTAGCTTCCCAGAAATTCATTCATCGTGATCTTGCTGCTAGAAATTGCATGTAAGTCTTTTGCACAGTGCATTGTTTATGAACTCAGTATATTGAGTGGCTTCCTCTTTATTCAAACACCATAATAACTTTTTCAGCCCCTAAAGGAACCCTATTATGTCATATTTTTATCTATTTATGCCTTACTTTGTAATTTTGTTAGAAAGAGAATGCATAATAATTATAGTTATACGTAAAAAAGTTTAATGCATTTGTACTATGTACGTTAGGATTGATGATAATGGTGTTATCAAAGTGGCAGATTTTGGACTATCTGAGGACATATATGCCTGCAATTACTTCAGGCAACTAAAGGGCAGTGATAATAACTCAGGATCATCAACAGTTAAACTACCAGTGAAATGGATGGCATTAGAGAGTCTTCATGATGGACTGTTCTCTGAAAAATCAGATGTTGTAAGTATTCATTTTCCATTGTAATTTAAATGCAATCACTATCAATTTTTTAATTTTATTTTTATTTACAGTGGTCTTATGGTGTTCTTTGTTGGGAAGTGTTCAGTCTTGGTAAGGTACCATATCCTGGTCTGGATCCAATAGGAGTAGTAGAGTTACTGGATACTGGAGGACGATTGCAGTGTCCACATAATGGAGCCTGCTCACAGGAAATGT